TATAATTCCTAGTACAACTGCTACCAACCACTATGTCAATCCTACTACATCTGCAGTTGGGAACTCAGCAGGTCCTGCCACTCTTACTGAAGGCTCCCAAGCAACTTCAATATTGTCCAGACCTCCACTTGTCCAGGAGTTTAATGCAAGGAATGAAAAGCAAGGACAGACAGATGTTCCAAAAGAGGAAACTACGAATTCAACTATTATTGATGAAAGCTCTGATGAGGGTTTCAAACTTGTAAGCAAGAAGAAGAAAAACAATAGTAAATCGCTGCATATTATGGAGAGGGGCTCTTCCCCTCCTCATCCCAAATGAATATTGCTGCTTGGAACATCGGGGGCTTCCACAAGTCCCTGAAGCAAAACGGGGTGAGAACCCTTATTAGAAACAACCGTATTGACATTTGTGGTTTTTTGAAACTAAGATGAAGGTTCCCCCTATTAGCATCTTGAACTCCAAGTTTAAGCACTGGAGTTTTGTCACCAACCTGGACATGCATCCCTCTGGAAGAATTATGATTTTTTGGAACCCTGCAACTATGAGCTTGAATGTCCTAAGCCAAACTCCACAAGTGATTCATTGTGAGGTAACTTGCTTAGTCTCCCACATTCAATTTAGACTCTCTTTCGTTTATGGCATGAACACTATACTGGCTAGAAGAGCTCTCTGGGAGGACCTTTTGCTGCAAAGTCAACAAGGGCCATGGCTGATAACTGGGGATTTCAACGCTGTGTTTGCCCCCAATGAGAGGTTCAAGGGCTCAAATGTCACAGATTATGAAATAAAGGACCAACTTGACTGTTGCACGCAAATAGGGCTCTTTGACTTGAATTTTGTCGGCTCCTTCTATACTTGGACAAATAATCTCACATGGTCAAGGATTGACAGATGCTTGATTAACCGAGATTGGGGCTTGCTGAACCAGAGCACTTATGCAGAATACTTGCCAATTAGTTTCTTGTCTGATCATGCCCCATGCATCATAAGAATAAATGGGTTGGCTCCCATAGCTAAAAGTCCCATGAAGTTTCAGAATATGTGGACCACTCATGAGGCTTTTGATAGTATTGTCAACAACTCTTGGCAAGAGTTTGTTCCAACTGGCTTTAAAATGTTCCAACTTTGCACTAAGCTGAAGAGGCTAAAACCTAAGTTACGTGAGTTAAATGCCCATCAATTTTCTCACATCTCTAGAAGGGCTGATGAAGCTAATACAACTCTCATCTCCTTGAAGAATCAACTACTGCAGAACCCAGAAGATCAATCCCTCCACAATGCAGTGTGTACTCAACAAAGAAAAGTCATGAATCTTCTTGAAGCTGAGAGACTATATCTCACTCAAAAGGCAAAGACTGACTTTGTTAATCTGAGTGATACGGCCAACTCCTTCTTCTATGCTATCATTAAAAGGAATCAAGCAAAGAATCGCATTAATGCAGTGAGAATGCCTGATGATAATATGACCAACTCTCCCGATCAAGTAGCTGCCGAGTTTCTCCTTTTATATGAACCTGTTAGGGTCTGAGTCTCAAGTGCAGGATATCTCCCTCACCACTCTGCAAGAAGGCAAACTTTTAAGTCAACAGCAAGGAGACTCTCTCTTGGCTGCTGTCACAACAGAGGAAGTTAAGAATGCAATGTTTAGCATCCCGGATCACAAGGCGCCTGGGCCTGATGGCTACTCGTCCAAGTTCTTCAAGTCCTCCTGGGATACTGTTAGGACAGAAGTTACTGAAGCTGTCCAAGAATTCTACAGTAGTGGCAGGCTCATGAAACAGGTGAATCACTCCCTTCTTGTCATGATCCCCAAATCAAATCATGCTTCAGAGGTTACCGATTTTAGGCCCATTGCTTGCTGCAATATGATTTATAAAGTTATTTCTAAGATCCTAGCTAGCAGGCTCTCCAAAGTGCTCCCTGATTTGATCGATCCAGCCCAAGCTGCTTTCGTCCCTGGAAGAAGCATGAATGAGAACATCTTTTTGCTACAAGAGTTGCTCAAGGGTTATGCTAGAAAGAAAGTCTCTCCAAGATGCCTGCTAAAGGTGGATCTCAAGAAGGCCTTTGATACCATAAACTGGTCTTTCCTACTCAAGCTTCTAAGTGGGCTACATTTCCCTTGGCAATTTGTGAAGCTCATAAAGGAGTGTGTCACGACTACCTCCTACTCCATCTCTTTAAATGGCACATTGCATGGTTATTTCAAAGGTAAGAGGGGGCTCAGGCAAGGAGATCCCCTCTCCCCACTGCTCTTCGTTATCTCCATGGAATATCTGTCACGACTAATGAGGACTTTATGGAGGGATAAGGATTATCACCCACACCCCAAGTGTATTGCTGTCAAGTTAAATCATCTCATCTTTGCAGATGATCTTATCTTATGCTCAAGAGGGGACTTTATATCTGTTGAGAAGACTCTTAAGTGCTTTCACAACTTCAGCAGATGTTCTGGGTTGTACATGGCAGGTGTGACAACAGATGTGTCTCATGAAATCAGGGACATAACTCAGTTTGATGATGGTATTTTTCCTTTTAGGTATCTTGGGATACCTTTGACAGCAATGGGGCTAAAAGTGTCACACTTCTCACCTTTAGTTGAGAGGATTACTGAAGCTATCAAAAGCTGGAGCAGCAATAATTTATCTTATGCAGGGAGGCTCCAACTGCTGACTTCAGTTGTTCAAGGCACCCTATGTTTCTGGATGATAATTGTAAACATCTCTGCATCTGTTCTCCACAAGATTATTGGCTAGAGCAGGAATTTTCTTTGGGGTGGTTCTAAGAAGCCTTTAGTGGCTTGGACGTCTACCTGTACTCCAAAGAGTGAAGGTGGTTTAGGCCTTCTTAACTGGAGCTGCTGGAACAAAAGTCTTTTATCTAACATTATTTGGAAGTTTTATGCAGGTACTGAGACCCTCTGGATCAGGTGGATCCATCATTATTACTTTCATGGGGACAACTTCTGGGACTTCTCTCCTCTTAGGGATGCTTCCCCCTTGATGAAGAGGATTTGTAAAATCAGAGATGAAATTATCACTGAAGTTGGCTCTTTGGAGACAACCAAGACTGAGATTGAAGATTGGGCTATCAACGGCAATTTCATTACCTCCAAGGCGTACAATTTCTTCAGACCTAAGCAACCAACAATATGGTGGGAGAAGACGGTATGGAAGAACTATCTTGTCCCTAGACACAGTTTCATCCTTTGGCTTGCTGCTAGAGGCAAGCTACTCACAAAGTATAGACTGACCTATATTGATTAAGACCCCACATGTCTCTTATGCGGGCGAGAGGTTGAAACTACTGAGCACCTTTTCTTCAAATGTCAAATTACAAACAGAATCTGGAAGCATATTCTGTATTGGCTGGGAGACAACAGAGGACATAACTCCCTCAAAGCAGCGCTCAGGTGACTCAAGTACAATGCTAAAGGTACTGGAATTCAAGCAAAAGTCAAGTATATTGCACTAGCAACGACTGTTTATATGATTTGGATGAACCGGAACATCAAAGTTTTTGAAGGAAAGGAGTTCAACACAGATAAAATCCTTGTGAAAATCAAGAGGCAAATTTATCAGACTATCTTTCACTTATTTCATCATATTGATGTAATAGATTAGAGATTAGAATATAGTTTTTTTTTTCCTTGTATTTCTTTGATGTATATTTTTGGTATCTTAGATCTTAGCTATAGGCTTAGCTTGTAGCTTTGTATGATTATAGGCTCAACTTGTAGTCTTATATGACTTTGCCGCCTGGATCTTCCAGCGCAAATTTCTCGTTGGTACATATATGCTATTTACACTTGCCTAAAAAAAATACCCATTTTGTATTCATATTTGGTTGTTGTTAGATATTATTTTGAGTGGGGTGGCAAGTGGGTAGCGGACACTTGCCTAAGGTAAGAAACCAGGGGCAGCAAGAGCAGTATATACAAGATGAGTATCCTCCACTCCTTCGGTTTAAATAAAGAAAATAGTTGTCATTTTATTCTATATTATCAGTTTTTTTTTTATATTTTATACTAATGATCTATAATCAAATAACAATATAAAACTATTTTATATATAATATAAATTTCTTATTCCACCCTCCTTATAAATAATATTGGATAAAAAATAAATGTATTAATAATTTTCGTAAAACGTAATAGAAGGATTTATAAGAGATAAAGGACAAACCATCATTCTAAATTTAATGGATTCACATGATTAACCAATAATAATTATTGGATAATGATGACTGGGATCATGTTTTATCTTGATCAAACTTAGAACATGTGTCCAAAGTTGAAATTGTTTGATATTCATGGAGTGAAATTAGCATAGGATTTTGTGAATGCACCAAATATGATTGTCTATTAATAACATTGTAGTGCACAAATATTTTTTATGTTTCTGTCAACGAAAAATTCGGTTTGCACAGTACACGTAAGACATGACAGGGAAAGCATTGTAAATCGTAAGACAGAGAGACAAGAAAAACACACTCGTGAAACAAAACAAGAGTTATCCGAATCTAACACACACACGTCAGATATGCGCGGAATAAATGTCAACGGTCCTCCATCTCTCTCTCTCTCTCCAACCCTTTCTTCCTCCATCTCTGTCACGCCACCAACATTCATATATATTAATCCCTCGAGACCCATTTCCTCCCATGTTCAGTTATTCTTATTCACAATCCCAGATAGAGACCCAAACCAATCGCTCGAAAATGAAACTAGTTTGGTCCCCAGAGACAGCATCCAAAGCATACATCGAGACAGTAAAATCAGTAAGCAAGCACGCATGCACTTTGTGTTACTGCAATTTAATCTCATTTCCTATCAGTCTCTAACCATATTTCTTTGAGTGCAGTGTCGGATTTTTCGGGAATCGGGTGTGGCGGAGATGGTGTCGGCGATGGCGGCGGGGTGGAACGCGCAGGTGATCGTGGAGACGTGGTCGGAGGGGGGAATGATAGCGACGAGCATGGGGTTGGCCGTGGCGAGGGGTCACACGTGCGGGAGGCACGTGTGCGTGGTGCCGGACGAGAGGTCGAGGTTGGAATACGCGGAGAGGATGGGGGAGGCGGGGATGTGGCCGGAGATCGTGGTGGGGGAGGCGGAGGAGGTGATGGAGCGGTTGACGGGGATAGACTTCATGGTGGTGGACTCCAGGCGCTCCAACTTCTCAAGAGTGCTGAGGCTTGCCAAGCTCAGTAACAAAGGCGCAGTGCTGATATGCAAGAACGCGAGCCACTCGAGCAACAGTACCATTGCTTCGACGGGTTTTCGATGGCGGAGTGTTGTGGAAGAAGGTTCGCGTCGTCTTGTACGTTCGGTGTTTCTTCCTGTGGGGAAGGGGCTTGACATAGCACACGTGTCAGCCATTGGGAGCTCGGCTGCTACTAAGAAATGGATTAAGCATGTTGACCAACAATCGGGGGAGATGCACGTTATTAGACGCTGAATTCGCCTCGCTCGTGTATTACCTTCTTAGTTTTGACACTGTTATTACCATTACAGAACAAAAAACTTATGCATACTTGTCACTCCTATTATGAAACCCGTGTTTTGGTATTCAACTTTGCTTTTTCTTCTGTAAATACACTTATACATATACATACATACACCATGAACTTGTGTATGCTGGAGACCCCATTTGTTTTGTATTTCGTTGTTATGTAACATCTTACTCTTGTCTTATCTTCGTCCATATTTGTAACAACTACATTCTTTTTTTACAAATTTCCTTGTGTTGTAAATATGTCTGACACTTCATAAAAATAAAAAAACCACACATTTTTATTTAGTCTTATTCTTTCACTCAAATGTAGTCAAGGTCGTTAACTTTTCCTTTCGATCAATTTATTCCTCAAATTAAAAAAAATAAAATCTGTAGATGTAGTTTATCATCTCTAAGATTTTATGAAAATATTTTCTTTATCAATTAAACAAGAGAATTAATATGAATATTTTGTATGAGTGTGAACCCTCGTACAAAGTTGTTTTGATGATAAGTTGATCGAGAATTTAAATTCAAAATCAGTTTTTCTTTTTCCGTATATTTAACTACGAGACCGAGTAGATTCTCCAAGCAAAAAGCCTTTCGGCACAGGAGCACACTGGTTTATTTAATAAGAAAATACAAATATAAATTCTTTTACAAAAGAAATTTCAAAATCATCCTTCTAGAGTCTGGTGTTTACCAGTTCAGAATTTGAGGGGAAGGATAACGCCCGATCTATCTAGTCATTTACAGCTCACCCTCTGTCTCTTCTCTATCTCTCTAATTAATTTTCCTCTCTGTTATTTACTTCTTTTCTTCGTCATATTTTTTACATTTATAATTTTATTTTTTCTGCAACTGTAAGAGAGAATCAAATTTGCATCGTTGGGCCTAGGCCCTAAACGTTTATAGGACCGCTATGTGATATGATGTTTATCGTGTATTTGTTTAAACCAATTGAGAGCAATGCATCCATTTTTTAGCAAATTGCGTATGTAATACACATGGCACTGTTCTTCTACCTACTTGCATAAAATAAAAAAATCCTGTCACGGAAATGTATCAAACGAACGTACTAAGACATTATGTATAGACATGTTTTGCAAACCAACCATCCAGCTACATAAATGACAAAACTCGTCGCCATAACAGAGGCATTATGTATAGACATGTTTTCAAGTGAAGCACGTTCCCAAGGTTGTTGACTTTCAATGTCTAATGATCCATCACCTGACACGCGTGCCAAATAGCAGAAAAAAGGCAAAAAGTTCACAAGAAAACATTACAAATTCAACGAAATATGGTATTTCTATTTCAAAAGATCTATCCGTATAAATCCTAGCTACATCACAATGTTCGCTAACTACCAGTAAGCAGCCAGAAACCACTTTTAAGGTCTTTCCAATCGCTCCTCGAATTCATGGTTATGTTTTAACCAATCATCTAATGTGTGTCTATCCAATATGGTAATGTCAGAGGATTGTGCTTCTGCACCCTGCAGCCCAGAGATTCAGAAATGACATCAATTGAGAATATAGACATAATGAAACTGACATAGAATGATTGATTAATGAATATCAAGCAAACAAAAATGATGAACTTACTAAATTGATATAATAGTTTCGAATTTCTGGTCGTGTTAGTCCCAGCTATTTTTACTTCTCCTAAATGCTTTCTTATCCGAAAGCACCTTCTTGCTTTTAAGGCGTTTCTGTTCTCCTATAGCAGCCCTTCAAGATTGCAAATTTTATTAACAGCTGTCAGTTACATGTCCTTCACCATCAAGTGATTCTAGAGTAACAGAATTATAGGAGCCAAAAGCAAAATGGTACCCAATATAAGAAATTGAATTTAACTTGAAGAATTAGAAAACATATAAAGCGAAGTGCTCTTACATCTTGGCAATTTTCTTCTTTTGCTCTTCTGAGGGAGGTGGCGGGACATATGATGCTGCATCAATGATTTCCTATTTTTTCCATTAAATAAACAAAAAAGGACCATTGCTAAGTAAAAATACAGTTTTCAGGAATAAGAAAAGATGTAAATAGACTCAATATGTGTTATTTCAGGGAAGGGGGGATGAGAGAGGAAGATTAGATAACTTAAGACTAACATCCAATAAGCACATCATATCAAAAGGAGGGATCCAGCATAAAATATTTTGTATGCAATGGTGCATTTCCCTTCCGATTCTGCGTTCCATTAATCCTTATTCTGGATTCAAACAACGTGGACTAATATTATACATGGTTCGCAGAACCATTTGGTACGAGGGACACGACTTTTCTAGATATGTGGAACAGAGGGGTATACCGTTTCATTTGCTATTTCAAATGAAGTGCTAGACATTAAAATATACTATACTAACACGTACTAAAAATTAACATATGAAGCAAAAAATCATCTGAACACTGACTGCAAGTGATGTTGTGCATTTTCTTTGCACAATGCAGCACTCAGATTTTGTTTTAAAAGATTTTCACCCAGTCATTCTCAATCTCCTCAGTGGCCACTTCCTTCGGATGCAGATTGCAGAGCCTTCTCCAAACAAAGCAGCGAAGAGTCACATCCAGAAGCAGAGTGAAGTCACTGTCCTAAGGTCCAACAAGGTCTGAGTAATTGGGACGCTATTTGCTACCGTGGGTGTTTTGGGTCACAAGTGACCCATGATAGGAATAAACGTTTCAAATTTGGAAATGAAAATCAACAAACTCAACAATGAAGGTAAGACAGCCATTAGTAGTAGAGAAGAAATCAATAAGAAACCATAGTACAAAAATACACTTCGACGATATCACCTGATGCTTGCTAAAACATTCTTCAAACAATTTCAATAAAAGAAAACTTATATACCAAAACTTTCCTATGTTACCTGAAGCTTTGCCAAAGCATCCTCAATGTTACCCCTGAGAGAAAAAAAAATGGTAGAATAAGGCAATGCAACATAAAACTGAAAGAGGCAACATAGTAGAAAAGGGAATAAACAAACTTCTGCGTTCTAGTTTTGGTCGAAGAAATCACAAGCTCCCCATCCTTGTTAATACGGTTTTTCTCCTGCCAGAACAAACAAAACTAAATATCATCAAAAGACAAGGTAGATAATCATTCAAACCAAGAGTAGAACAACCATTTTCAAGGCCAAAAAAAGTGACCAGACAAGATATTCAGTACGCAATTTGTGCACTACTAGATATACACATGAAACATTTAAGGCTTTTGCAAACAGTTGGCGAGAAAATTTTGCAGCAGAAAATACCGTTTGCAAAATCTTGTCCCTGACCCTGTCACTTAACCAATATGCATTTTTTACGTTGAAGCGCATGTCCACCTTGGTGTTCACTGTCCAATCAATAATCAGTGTAATAAGACCTCAGCACGGCGCAAAAAGATAATAATAGAACGAAATAGGAACAAACAAAACAATCAAGGAACCAACCTTTGTTGACATTCTGACCCCCAGGTCCTCCACTTCTAGCAAAACTCACCGTAACATGATCTGAAACCAAAAAAAGAAAAGTTATTACCTTGCTCTTCTTTAGGTCATTTTGTTTTAAATTGACAAATGGATAAAGGACCTAAGGTGATTTTAGGAGGAGGGGTTTGGTCGGCGGAGAGAGCGCGGTGTTCTGCTTGCTGAAGAAGCTGCTGGACCTGCGAGAGCCGAGCCGATATTTTCTTGGCGCCATCGGAGTCTGAGGAAGCACATCGAATTGCAGGGCGCAACGAGCGTCGTAATTGAAGTGAGAAGTGCAAGGGAGAAGAAACCCCGCGAGGACGAAGCGAAAGTTTGGAAGAAGAGAATTGCAACATCTCCTTCACTACGAATACCATTCGAGTGGTGCCTGTGGCCATAGATCAATCAATTATCAACTAACTATAAACCACAACCTCAACCCTCCCCAGTTTTTTTGTCTTTCCTTTTCCCAGATTGTGGTTCCTCTTGCCCTTCAATGTGCATTATGCTAGCGGTTTCATTTTAGCGTCCTTTTTTTTAACCCTTCTAAAGATGACTCTTTTTACTCTATCGGTCCCCATATAAAACTAGACTTATTTATTAATAAATTTATTTTTTACTGCACTTATTTTTTGATGATTAAACAATATATACTAAAGAAACATTACATATATTAAATAAATGCAAAATACATAAGAAATCAATTAAAAAAATTTACATATTCTGGCAAATACGATAAATATATAGTTCTGCATAGCTTTAGTCCGTACATGTAACTAATTGCAATGATAACATTTGCTTTGGGAAAACAGTTTTCTTTACTTAGGGAATATAAAATTGGAACTAACAATTACTTCAATTCAGTTTTGAGAAATATCATCATAAGCAAAAGAATAGATTTATAATAAAATATAAATCAATAAATTCACTGTAGACTTTCAGCTAAATGAAGCACTAAATAAAACTGAGTAAGCAGCTTCAGACCATGCAGCAATAGATGCTGATATAAATACAAACCAATTGAAGATTCACAATTTAAAGTAAGAGAATATAAATTAAAATATCCTTAAAACAGAATAAACACAATGTTCAATTTTTCTCAAACTATTTTCATTTTCTTTTCTAGGTAAACACACTCCTCAGTACTTCTGAAGGAACTTCCCAAAGTGAATAGGACAGAGACAGCATGGCTAATAGTCCTTATGTATTATTATTGTCCAATATACAATAGTTATGTGGAATATAAAGTTAATGCTGTATTTGCTGGTCATTTTCATGCTTATGAACGATCTGTGAGTTCTCACATTGCAATTGTTATATCCCAAGGACGTTTGTTTACTGCATCTTCAGAATCTGTGTAATAATGGTGTTTTTTCTTCTTTATCATGATTTCTCTCTTAATTTAGTTCTGAGATGTAAGCTATTAAAGATTCTAGATGAAATGGAATGGCATTATGTCACTAAAGACAAATAAAAATAGTATAGCATTCTGCAGCATGCTTTTCTTGCACGTCAATTATCTTTATAAGTAAATGACAAGATGCACAATTACGTTCATGTAAGATGATACATGGGAGTTCAAATCCATACTTACATTTTAGTGTAACACCCACTGCCCCGTGTACGTAAATGTTTCTGTCTTCCTATGGAATGACAGAATATGCACTGATCAAGACGAAGGATTTCAGAGCAAACGCTGAGGCTCTTACTTGAGGAAATGAACAAAACCTTGATAACCACGCATCTTTGTTGCAGGAAGGTGTATCAAATGTTGCATATAAAGTAAATGGTCTGCACAACCCCCAGATTAAATAAAGAGATAACGATTAACGGGTTATATGTGTTAATGTGAACTATTACGTTCATAAGCTTAGACTAAGAGACAAAAGAAAAGGACAACAAAAACTCTATAATGCAAATAAGATAATTTGTTAATTTTTTCATGGTAGGTTGCGTTTTCTTTCATGTGTTTGCGATTTTAAACTGGTAGCATCGAGCTTTTACATTAAAAAGTTGAAGAGGGGACCATTGAGTTATCCTCCCACCCAGACGTTCAGTTTCACCAGGATTTCTTTGTGACGTACAGAGTGCATTGATTTTCACTATAATCAGTTAATTTTTTTCACTGTCATTAGTTGCTGAGTTCCAAACATAACAAAACCAGTGAATTAGGCTACGAGCATAGTCAGAATTTTCAATCTCATCCTGGTGACATTCTCTTTTTCTTCTAGAAGTTGGTTATAAAGAAGGTATGTTGCCAATCAAAGTTGGTTATAACTAGCCAAAAAGTCTAACACATTGGTTGTGTTGTGAAGGGAGAATGGACTGAACGGTTTTCGCCTTCATAAGTCCCACATTGACTAAAATGTTGAAAAATGAAAGTTTATAAATTATATGACGATGAGTAACAACTGCCGAGTTGGGTTGTGCCAACTTGTAACCTAAGTGGGGGCATGAAAGTGATGGAACTACAATTGGGCGGTACTGGGTTGGACTTTGAATGCAAAGTGCTGGCCTGTCCACTCCAAGTTGAGAGTTGAGGCATGGGGCCTATGCGAAGGCAGAGGCCTCTTGTTTCCTAGACTTGAGGGCACAGCGTGAGGCTGGTTTCACAGAGCAGCGACTACCTCAGGCTTCTAACAGTGGAGGGATAATGGGCTGCTGCCCCAAATGTCCACGATAAACCTGGTGAGCCCAGATGCTTGAACCATCATTTTTTTTCCTATCATTCATTTTTTTAGTGTTATAAATTAAATTCACACTAGAATACTTTGCAGGACATCATTTACTTCTAATAATATTTTAATAATTATAAGGTAAATTGATTAAGTTTTCCTATTTGACTTTATTCTTCTATAACAATTGACATAACTATTATTGGTATTTTGATTATATATATTTTTATTTTTGCTTATTCTATCATTAATCGTAGAATATTTATAATAAAAACAAAATATTTAGATTAAAAAAAACTTTTTTTAAATGATAAAACATTTATTTAATAGGTATTATCAGAACATGAAAAAATATATATAAAAATAGAATTTAGTTTTTTTTTTTAAAAACACTACTTACCAAGATTAGAAATAGCTTAAAAAGTCTAGTTAATTGATTATTTTTTTTGAATGGCATTGTATTTTTGGTTTTCATATATTAAATCTCTACTTAACTTTTCTGTTTTGATATCATATCCACAGATATTTTGTTCGTTTTTAAATTTAAGGTGGGAGAAAAACATTCTTCATGTTTTGGATTTTCCTAAGGTTATTTAAATTTAAAGTTTAATATCTCCCATGCGTGCTGTTTCTAACTAGTGAAGTTTGTATTCTAATTCAGACTCATTTTAGTTAACTTGCGTCTTCCTTACATGATAAAAAAAAATGAAAAACAATTATCCAATATTTGTCTAAAATAGTATCATATTTTATACCTTAACCCATAATTGTTGCTGAATGAGATTGAATTTTATACTAGAAATAATTATATCACATACTTGAACTTATTATTTCCAATGTTAGAATCAAGAGTTGTAATCACTAGTCAACCGCATGTTTTGTGTTAATTTCAATTTACAGTATTTTCAAAATATAGAGGAGTTAAAAATTGTCAATACTAAAATTACACCAAGAACAACTTTTCCTTCCAATGATTTATAATATTATTCTCAACTTTGAACTTCATAATATCTCTTTTACTTCTATCAAATACCTTAAATGTCCATATACTTACCATAATTGTATCATCCCAAATAACTAGTGATAGAATTTATAGTATCTATGCCTTTAAACTATCACTTTTGATAGCATAAAAATTCAAATTTGTAGGATTAAAATTTTCAAAATGAACAATTTTACCTCCAAGATGTAAAAGAGATGCAATCTTACATCAACTTTTAACACAATTTTATCGCAAGAATGCAAACTAAAAAGTTTTTCTAATACCCCTATCCAAAATCAAAGAAAAATAAATTCTACTTATAAAAAATAATGTGTGTTTAGAACCATATCTAAAATTTATAAAAAAATAAAATAAATAAGTTGTTTTTGCAACTGAAATTTATAATTTATCATTATTATTTAGTATATTTTTCTTTTCATATTCAATTTTTTTTTCATGTAATTTTTTTACAGTCATAGAAAAAAATAGTTACTTAAAAATATATTTTAACAAATTTATCCGATTAAAAGATAATTTCAAATGTAACGAATTATTGAAATAATATAATTTTTATAGTTGTTTCATCACATTATATAAGTGTATCTCATTCTTGGGTGTGACATTTGAAGAACGGAGATAAAGGAATATCTATCCATTTGGATATCCAATAATTGTAAGCATTATTCAATAATGAAACCCAAAAGGATTTTATCATTTATATCGTAAAAGTCAAACTAATCGTTTAATCAATTTAGATATCATGTCATTAATAACTTTAATAAAACAACAATTCAAAATTACAAAATAATATTTGTTTTCCATATTATTTTCACTTGTCATTAAAAGTATTTTTAAATAAAATTAGTACTAAAAGTTGTTTAAAAATAAAAGATAATATATATTATCTCAGAGCCTCTAAAAAAATTATTATAAAAAATTACTTAAAAATAAAAGTAAATATATAATATTATATTTAAATTATTTAAAAATAGATAAAATTGTTTAAAATTATAAAAAATTATTTAGATAAACAATTTTGATCAAATTTTAAACAATTCAATAATAAAATTTATAATAAAATATTTAATTTTATTCTTAAACAATGTTAAAAATTTACTTTTGGAGATACTCCAACATTATAGTAATTTATTTAACTGTTACTGTAATTAACATTATATTAACAAAAATAATTTTATAGTTTTTAAAATTTTTAATTTCTTTCAAATTGGAACAACATATTCTTTGTAAAAAATTTAAATTCTAAAAAGAGAATATGCCTTTTTACAATCCAACATCTAAAGCCCTCTTATATTTCCCCTTATATTTTAATAATCCTAACCGATCAAACTCACGTTATGTTTACAAGCGAAACCAAATCTTCATAATCTTTATTCCAGACAACATGTTTTAAATGCTCTTCTAGTTAAAACACAAGTTTATCCATAATACTGCTCTCTTCTGCAAAGACATTTTTAACCTATTCATACAAAACAAAATTGCATACATATATTTGCTCCCTATATACATCTAAAACATCTTTTTTTTAAATATCAGATTTTGAAATAAAATAGAAACTAAAATTCAATATTTAAATTTGTTTTTGGTTGCCAAAATCAATATTTATTCATACATAATACTACTATAAAATCCAAAGACCCAAATCTTGAAAAAGGCGTACTTACATTGGCCTAAAAAATTACAAAACTAGATTGGATGATGCATTATCTACCGAATAAGATGGTGATTCAATTAATTTGAGTAGGTCCTTCAAAATAATTTAGCTATTAATCGATTCTGGACATGGTGCAAGAAAACATTAGGCGCACATTCCTCGCAGGAAAACATCTCATGCACAAAAGGAAACAGCAAAACAGTATAAATTGTTATGCATTCAGGTCTTGAACCCCTAGCATCACCATAACAATTTCAATGGACAAGTCCATCCTATTGAAACATAAGAAATAAGGAAAAAAAATGTCATATGCCTATAGGGGGAAAGGGAAGAAAGGGAAAGGGAAAGGGAAAGGGAAGAAAGGGAAGGGAAGGGTTGAAGAAACGCATCAACAGTAACAGTACTAACAAGGTGAAGCTGTGTACATTGGTAAATGAGTTAAAAGATTTTGAGCAACCTTAGAGCCTTAATTTCGGCCACGCCCTACTCCTGGACGGTTGTGTGGTTTGCTACCATTTGGATGGGGCCTTGCCCTCTCGTGTTCGCGAGAAGAACCAACTTCATTTGTTTCAGATAATGTTACCACCGGATCCGAAGAAGGAAGTGCCCAACCACCCCGCCTCGCGGGCTCAGCTTGCCCATTACTCCCACTAGCTTCTGAAACACCAAAGGGCAGAAATTTGAGGGATAAAATATACACTCAACAGCCATAGTGCAAGTATTTTATAGCACAAAATTAGAGATCATCCCCAGTGGTTATTACTATTGATTACAGTGTATATTACTATTTCACTCAATGAAAATTTGATATTTGGTTTGCTTCTTTTCCAAATTTTGCAGAAACATACATGTTAGCTCCGACAAAGCAAATTTGCGAATATAATAGATAACCAAAAGTATATGAGCATAAAGAAGCATACTCACAACAACATACTGAAAAAATCATTTCAAAGAAGTGTGTGGGAATGTGGGAGTTGTAAGAAAAATGAAAGTAAGATTGCAGAAAAATGAGCTCGAAAATGGTAAGACACAAATAGTGGTGCTCGAAAGTGCTCATGAATAATAAGCTGACCGAGTAGTTTTTTAATGGAAGACCTCGTAGTTTTGAACAACAATAAAAATGCATGTCATTTCATTTAAACTGATTTCAGTCCAAAAATACTTATGATGCCCAGCATTTTTTCATCATAGTTACCGAGCTTGATAGTCACAAACACTGTAGTGGGATGGCTCGTCACATGATGACCATTATTCTGAATTTATTATGTGTATTAAATAATTAAATACACATTTTTTTCAAAGAGAAAAGAGAACAGAAAAATGAAAAAAAGAAAACACTATAAACCAAAAGAACAAGGGGAAAATGGAGGTGAGAAGTCTAGGACACACTCAGGAGGCTGAGCATTCCACAAAGACACTGCTCTAAAAAATATGAAGTTTTTTAAAAAAAAAAAACTTATGCAAATATCTAAAATATCCCCGTATTGTTAAAAATAAAAACCTAAAGTTTAAGGGCATTCAAAATTTTTAGGAAAACTTCACTATTGCAACCAAATTGCACACAAGTGCGCAACAGGCCCTCACAGCTGTGAAAAAAAACCGTGATATTACAATGTGCAAACAGCAGCCATAGCCACTTTACCACCATAGCATGATATTGATAATCTAGGTCTGTAGTATATTACTATATTTTCTTCGATTTTAGTAATTCAAATGCATTAATATTTATAATCCAGTGAATATATTTCAATATTTAGCAGATATTTTTATATAAAAAAATCATTAAGGAAACATTAGGAATAGATATGTAAACATAAACAGTCAATATTCTCTAGAAAATTGTATAGATATCTTCCAGTGAATAGAGATAATTACTCACCAATACTACCAGTCCATCCAGGCAAATACTTTTGACCCTTTAGTTTCCATTCTTCTTCAAAGCCAGTAAGTTCCTCTACAAAATCACAACCCAAAATCTTTCAGGAATGCTGATATACAAGAACATGAAACTATGAAAGTAATGTCATATCCATAATTATCAATCCTGGATAGTGGTTCAAAACCAATATAGCAGGATGGTGGATAGCAGGATGATCGCAACTACAAAATTTCTACACATTAAATAAATTTTATTACATTATTTTAAATGCTCCAAAAATAGCTATAATTAATGACTTATTAATAGTTAAAAGTCATAATTTTAGCCAAACACAGGAGTCAATAACAAGAAGGGTCAGGCAAGTAGGATAAATGGGCACAAAGGTACAGCAAGAAAGGGCACTATAAGGTTTACCTATCTGAACTGAAGACCACAGTGAAAAAAGAAGAAATCAAAACATATACATATAAAATATTTGTACACACTAATGTAAAAAACAAAACTTAAGCCCTTCTTTGAGGTGAACAAAACCAAAGGATGTGACCAGAATAAAGAACACAGAAAGGTGTGCCAGAGTTCCAAAGAATGTTGGTTGGCTGGAAACACATGGAAACTATGTGTCAGATGGTTGCATCAAAGAGTCACTGCTATAGCAAGCTGCAATAAGCCAGCCTTCAATGGAGGGGCCCATATCTGCAACCCTATACAACACTGCTATAGCAGCACTATAATGCATCATTGACTACTATGGTCATATGATATCACACACACCAAAATTTCATGAATATCAGATACATGACCTACCTTCATTTATATTGTGCAAAGTCTGCATAGTATCCACCCTACCATCAGAATTCAATTTCTTGGAGAGGGAATGACCCTATAAAAGATCACATATAATTAAAATAAAATGAGTAAGAGACCAGTTAGAAATTAAAGCATTAAAAATTTGACAGAGAAAGTTATTCCAAAACCAAACCAATTGAATCTACCATGGTGCCCAAGGAGAATAGTTTAAGAATACCTTGCCATGAATGCCTCTAGAAATTAAGTGAGAAGCTTCTCTTGTTGAACTATCAGCCTCCTTGCTCTCTTCAAAGGTCACCTAATACAACAAAGATGGCATCAGAAAAATAACATTCTGCAAATCTTGGGTTCACTCTAGCTTTTAATCAACAATCCAAATACTTACTCCATCACTCCCACGCCTTCTTGTCCTTGAGGAAGTATAATACGTTCCATTTGGACCACCATAGCTGACAGTTGAGCTTTGGAAGCAGAAGCTGTGAGATTGAGGCTGAGGCCCAGTTGTAATGACTCTGTTGTACTCATTTCCAGCCTGCAAATATCTGCTCTTCTTCCCTGCAACATGAACTAAAAAAATTCAGCCTAAGCAAAACCCAGCTACCACTTGTAGGAGATAGAGTAAAAGCACCTACTTCTAAAGAAATAAACATATATTACCTTCAGTTTCATCATCTGGATGTTCAACAGAGGGTTCATCATTTGACCTACTATGCTTTCTTGGATTTTCTTTCCTCTCCTCTGTTGTGTCCTCATTTTCCTCATCAGAGTCCAATTCCTGAATGATTGGTCCCCTTTGCCTACTAGGCTCTGGAGCTTGACGCTCAAGGAACCCAGACGGATGCATCCCTGGGAGTTGATGCTGAAGAAACCCAGATGAATGCATACCAGGCGGAAAAGGAAATCCAGTATGACCACCAAAGGTACTAGATCCAAACATCCCTCCAAAAGGCTGGGTGAAGAAAGGATCATCAAATGGATCCCTACCCCCAAAAAAGCTTGATATTAAACTCCTGGGAGGTCCAAAGGAGCCAAACCCTCCAAAAGCACCAAAAGGGTCACCAAGATCGGAGAAAGGATCCCTACCACCCCCACGTCCTTGCATTCTGTCTAAGTACAGTGTTCACTGGAAGTACATGTTGCAATAAGGGTAATTAAATCGCAATTAACCATTCAACTATTAATCAAGGATTCAATACAAGCTCTTTCAGAAGATTTTTATCATAATGAATCTTCCTTAGGAATCCTAATTAATTATTATATATTTTTATTAAATTCTTGCCGCAAATGAATAACATTTTAGAGGATATAAGAACATTAGTCATTATTTTCAAACGTAAACACTTGCTTCAAGCCCTAGCAGCTTTATCATAATCCCTATAAAAGCCTCGGAAAGCAAGCTCCCAAGGCTTATTTGCATTCACCGAATTTCAAATATAGAACCAATCAACTAAAAAGCATGGTAACGTGTTGATTTAAACACGAAGATCGGTCAAACAAAACAAAAAATACCAAAAAATGAAGAATGATGAAACATAACAGAAAACGAGATGAGCATAATTAAAATTGAAACCCAAAAAGGGGAGATTGAGAAAGAGAGAGAGAGAGAGGTGTACCTGAGAGCAAACAGGAGAGTAGAGAGGGGGAAAACGAAAAACAGTAGTGAAAGACCGACCAATGATTTGAGACCTAAAAATGTGTTCCCAATTTATGCAGATTCCTTGGATGGTTCGTAATTCAACCAGGGTAATAGAACTCTCTAGTATTACAGAACTGATTATATATCAGACATCAGCATCAGCATACACAGTGCATGAAAATACGTGGGCTTTGTTTCTCAACGTAACCAAAAGGCCCAACAACCTTATACCACCTCAAGTAATCTTCAATACTTTGTTTTTTATTTTTTATTTTTTTTATTTATAAAATTCTAGAGTAATAACCTGTCCATTTATTTTATAATATTTTGACATTAAGATTTTTAACATACTTTTTTGTTAATTATTCTATAAAAATATAAGTAAATACGTCTATAAATGGTTAAAAATCAGTACATTTTCAAGCATAAAAATTATTACTTATATATAAATTGAAATTTAAAAAAGTTTTGAGGATAATATAATAATTTTTAAAATATTTTTATTATTAGAATTTTGTAATTTTGATTTTAAAGGATTTTTACGAAATATGATTTCTGAAAGGATTTTATAAATTTATTAACAAATTTTAAAATATTTGATACATTTAAATTTTTTAAAAATAATTTATACTATAGGTCAAAATAGACTAGATATAATAAAAATTTAAACTATTTAAGAAATAAATTACGTCAGTTTAAAAATCAATGACTTAAATTAAATTATATTATTTCTTTTATCTGATCATTTAACTTGTGATCAATACATTAACTTAATTTATTTTATAAAATAATAATTATTTTTTAATAAATAAATATATATATATATATATATATATTATGAATATATATTAAATTAATTTTTAAAAAATAGATTAATTCAAGAATAAAAATTAAAGTAAAATATTATTTTATATAGTTATATTATTACAAATTCTTTATATAGTTTATTTTTTATTTTTTTAAATCAACTTTGTAAATTGATTTTGAAATGCTATTTTTGACAATAAGCTGAAAAAACCTATATAACCTTATTTTTGAAAATTATTTTAAATAAAAGAAAATGACATAATTATAAAAATGAAAATGAGTGATTTGATGTAATCATTAGGTAAAATATTGATATTTATTAATAAAAATAAGAAATTAAATGGAAAATACTTTTTACTAATTTTAGGTTTTAAATTAAAAAAAAAACAGTTTTAACAAAACAATCTCTAAACAAATCTGTTAGTTTTTAAAAATTAAATAATTGAAAACTTATAATAAAAAAAATAATTTTATTAATATCATTTAAATTTAAAAATATTTGTTTATTTAATTTTTAAAACTTTTTTAGTTAAATTTTTGGATAAATTTTTTTAGATAAATATATTATAATTTTTAATCAAGTTAAAATTGATTCGTTTAATAGGGTAAAACATGTCTTATAACGACTAAATCCTTAATATTTTTTACTTTAACCTACAAGAAAACTAAGAAAAGTCAAGTTATATAAGAGAGTCTAAGACAAATTAATTTGTATCGCACCATTTTGAGATTCCTAAATTTATCTTTGTATAATGAAATGCACATTTATCTATTATTTATTCTGTAAAATTACATCAATCAAAGTATATTGTGGTAGGGATGCAAACAATAGTTATTATTAGTCATACATTGTTCAGATAAAATGTCAAACCTCCAATAAAAGAAAGCAAACATGTGTGCAAGTGAGGAAGTCCTCGTTCCTGCTCTTCAACTTGCTTATTTCTTCAAAAGATACAAAATGATTTTGCTGATTTTTATTGATTCAGTAGAAAAGCTTCAGAATGACATTACAACTTTTTTATCCGGAAATCTATAATGATATTTGTATGCTTATTTCTTTCAAGGTTACGAAATAATTTTGTTTTTCAATAACACATATAAATACTCGTTATTTAATATAAAAAAATTGTAATACTACAACATATAACGTGTGACGTTAGGAGAAGGGGTTAGTATGTCCCATTTGACTTGTTTCGTCTATAATATGTTAAGAATAGTTAAGGATTGTAGATCCGTTAAAGGTAGATGGACGCATTAATGAATTAGTCCACTAATATTTTTTATAATATATATATATATATATATATATATATATATATATATATATTTAAAATATATTTTAGTTATATGAATATTTTTTAATTTTTAATTTATTAATTAATATTTTTATTGGATAAATTGAAAAAAAATATTTTTTGTTAAAATAATTAATTATAATATTATAATATATTTATATATTTTAATCACCTAATATAAAAAATATAATATTTTTAATTTAATTTTAATATATAAATATTTTCTTAAAATTAGTTAATCCATCTAATCCTATCATTAATATGTTAAGTTGACATATTAAACTGGTCAAAATAAGTTAAACTAATATTATCGATCTTCCCACAACTTTTAAAATAAGTTAAACTAATATTATCAATTTCTCTCATAATTTTTAAAATATAATGGTGAAGCTTAACTAGTCATAGGATCATTATGAGTGTCATGTGAATAAATAAAATTTTAAAGTCTTCAAATTTTTTTTCAAGATATAAGTCTTATCTTGTCTATTTTTAATAAACTTAAATTTTATAGAAGGTTTTTTTAATAATAATTAATAAGTTTTATGATTGACAAGTTTAAAGAAGAAGAAGGTCGAAATTTAACATATCTGACTCTTTCTAAACTCATAACACAAATATGAAATGTTGAAGAGTACGAGGTGCTAAACACAAAAGAATTCACCTGTTATTTATGTAAAAAAGAATGGATAATATATGATATTCTTGGATAGGAAGACTTAGTTTTATTATTTATGGCAACATAACATCATGATGGAATCCAGGAAATTAAAAAAGAAAAAGAAAAGGAAAGTGATATGTGATTTGGAGTGCAACTATTAATGTGCGTATAAAAGGCAGAAATGGATTAGTATTTTGGAGTGATACACCAACCATCATCATGGTTTCTTCCACTCAAAGTCTGTCACAGTTTATTCTACCACGTCAGTTCCCTCAGCCCCTACAACAGAAGCCAGTTTAGGGGAGCAACCAACTACTACCCTATGACTTCTTATCCTTCCTCACTAGAAAGTGTTTCTACGGCAACAAACACCAGTACTCAAACCAATTCACCAGAACAAGAACTACTAGCAACATGAGCACAAGCTAGAAATACAATAAACAATAGGAAATCCAAAACCACCATTACATCTGAAAGCTCAGTTTCACAATCATATAAATCCAACACAAGTAATCAGAGATGGGGATAAATAAATAATATTAGAATAGCCAAAGGACAGACAACAATCATGTCATAGTTTCTTAAAGCAAAAAAATCATATCAAACAATCTGAGGAGAGATAGTTCAACATATAACAAGGAAACAGTTGAATACTACTGAAAGAATTGCTTGTAATCTCAACCACCATCACTTAGTCTAAACAAAATCATGAACAGTAATCCCAACCACTATCACTTGATTAAGAAAAACAAAATAAATAAATCAACTCAAATAATAGAAAGCAGGAACTTACCTTAACATAAACATAGAGAGGAGGGCAAGCAATGCAGACAATGCCAGCATTGACGCCACCGCAGAGTGGGAACTTCTTCGGAGCTTCCTCCAGGAGTGGTGTTGCTGCTCGACGACGATTTCTTTGAGGGCAGCGACAATGTGTGAGTTAGTGCGCCTAATCGAACAATTAGAGATGCGCCTAATCGAAAAATTAGAGAGAAGGAAAACCCCAACTGTGAGCACCGGGAGAGAGGAGAGTGAAATACAGAAGACTGAAATGGAGAAATGTGAAAGGAGAGAAGAAACCAAACGAAACGGAAAGGGAAATGAATGTGCATTTAATATTTTTTTTATTATAGTTGTCGAATGGATGTTTAAAATTAGATGTCAAAATATCGGGACCCACAAGCAAAAGCTGTCAAGAATTTACAAACTCGTGGGATTTAACATTGTGCATGTTCTTAATAGTTTCTTTATGGTGAATGTGTTGGAGCATAACAAAGTAAAAATTATTTGATATGTATGATATATTATCATTATATTGAGAATTCAAGTGTGAGTTTGAAGTTCCACATTTCGTAGAAATGAGAAAGTTGAGTAATTTATAAGTGCAAAATACTCATAACGTATTGCCTTAAGGGTTTGGGTTGAGAGTGTTGTCATATTCTCTTATATGGTTGGTTCATGACCCATTTGTGAGAATTAACCCCCTCAAAAATACCTAATAGTAGTATCAGTGAAAGGGAATCACACTTGAGGGGGACTTGAGAATTCAAGTCTTATTATAAGAAAAATATCTAACATACTAGGTATTAAAATGAAATTTAGAATTCATAATTTTTTTTTTAAGTTGAACAAAGTTTTATAGAAAGAATATGAGGTGGTTTAAGTTAAAAAAAATAACTGTATTAATTGATTCGAGCAATCACATTTGTAAGGCAATATCCATTCGAATTCTATAACAATTTTTCTCAATTTATTTTTTAGATATAAAAAATTAGGAAGTGAAACAAATCGATAAAATAATCTATTTGTTGGTATTTTTTTATATATAATAAAATTTGACTACTGATTAAAAATCGTCTAATTTTTTTTATAAAACTTTAGTAAATTTGCTTAGTTTAGAATTAGAATATTTTTTATTTAGTTTACCTTTTAATTTATAAGATTTTTCATTTTGAAAAAAGAGTTTTTATGTCACATTAAATAACTTACAAAAATAATTAAATAAAAAAATAATTTTAATTTTTTAAAAATTATTAGAACAAAATAACAAATAAATTACTTAAATATAATATAATAATATAATAAAACTATATTTTATTTTTTTTAAATTAAAAAATAATTCATATTAATTATTTCTATTAAAAATAACCGAATAGTTATGAGTCACTATGTTGATAGAAAGTTAAAGATCATCAATAAGGTTAGATACAATATATTGCGCATCATTTGTGCTAAATGTGGTCACTCAGCAACCAAGGTAATTTGTGGCAAATGGTGGACCACGATTGAAGGCCAACCTAATGCATGGTGGACCGACTCATGCAACCACACGAAATCTACCAAAAAACAATTGAGATTTAGTAGAATATAATTTGGATAGCAAATGGCTAATCATCAAAAGTAATAAGTTGGATAATTTAACACAAAATATATGGAGGAAAAAAAGGATATATTAATGAATTTGATGTTATTTCTATCATGGTTTGTAGTAAAAGATATCATGTTCATGTAATTAATATATAATCATAGGCATGTCATGTCATTGGCTGTTAATGTTTTACCGAAAAAAAAAAAATGGAGCCCAAGACAGTGCCATAATGCACTTGTCCATTATCCATATGAACACCCATGTTGACCATTTTGGTGCAAGTCTATTTTTTGTTCAATAAAAGTTCAATTCACATGCAATGTTCATCAAGCAAAAGTTATACTAACAGTTAACATATGGAAATGTTATTGGTACTGGATCTTCAGTGTCATCTCCCAATTAACCAGCAAATATCGTGTAAATAAGTTAAGTGTGTCTTCAATTTTGGTAATGAGGTCACACAGTCAAACCCCATCATATTTTAATCCATCTCAAGACGATGATTGTGCAAGTATGGAAGCTATGTTGATGAAATACCATATTATATGAGTTTGTTCTTTCTAACACAATTATTAACGACAAAGTTATTTAGTGATATCACCATTCGGCTTTAGAATATCAAGCAATAAGAGAAACAAGAGATATATTTAACATATTTGTCATAATGAGAGTCACAATGCAAAATATTTCCATTGGTTTATTTAGGATTTTTTTTTTCTACAGATTGGAAATAATTTTATTTTTACATTTTTTAATCAAACAAATTTAAAGTTAGATACACTTTTGTTTTTCCTCCGTTGGGATTGTCAAAATGTTTATGGTAGGATTTGACGTCTCATCGTCTTATGTCCAACAATCACACTAAACTATTGAACTTTTTTAGACATAAATTAAAGAATAATAATATAAATATACATTAACGAGAACACAATTCATGCATATAGTTAATATTAAATAAAAAATTGTTATATAATATTATTATTAATAAATTCATACTTTTAATACTAATAATAATATTGCAAAGACTTAAAAACATGTTATTATACCACTAAAGTTAAATAAATTATAATTTCATTTATCAAATAACTTATATTTATCATTACAAAATAAATAAATTTACATATTTTTGTTAAATTAATACGGATAATTTTAATAAAACTGTTAGTATATTCACAGATAAACCATTATCTTAATAAATTTAAATTGGTATATATCAATATGCTTTTACAAAATAAATACATTGCATATGATATTTTGTTTATTGGAATATACAAGTTAGAAGCTCAATATTTATATCATATATTTCTAATTAGCCTTCTAATATATTTATATTTTAATTCAACATATTTATGTTAACATTTATAAAATTATGAATTTATCAAGACTTAAATTCATCGTGATAATTTTTTTAGTCGAAAATTCATATATAAATCACTTTGTTTAACTATTCAAAGTATTATTTAAATCACTTTAAGAACTAAAAAAATAAAAAACTTATTAAAATAAAAAAATTAAAACACTAATAAAAACAAAAAGTATATCTATAATAATATTAAATCAGTATTATTTAAATAATGGTAAAGATGATATTTATTATATATAAAACATTTTTATCACATAAAGTCGGGTCATTTTATGGGATAAAAATATATTGTGTACCTGTAAAGATTTTAAAACATTAAATACGTTTCTCCAAAAAAATCATATCATTTTCGTTTTTTCAAAATTTAAACATTTAGAAAAAAATTGTGAATGACGACGATAGACAGAAAGTAGATATAAACTACTGTATCAATATGAATCTATAAATGGGCGAAAATAATATAAACTATTTTTGGAGAATTATTTAAATTTTGAAAATTTTACAAGGATACAATCTAAAGGAGAAAGCTTGTACCGCAAGCATCAATGAAAGCGAGAAGAAACCACTCAATAAAACCAAATGACGAAAATAAATGTTTTAATCTTAAGTAAATAATGATAACGTTATATTTTTCAAATAAGAACAGCACAAATCTTACAGCTTGAAGATGATCATTTTAAGAATAATAATTTCAGCCAACTACTATGCTTTATTTTCCAAATAAAAACAACATCGCAAACTTTTGTTTTTGAGATTCTTGGATTTCACCCTAACTCTATCTGGTTAGAAATCATTGATTTGATCCAAAGTAGATTATACCGGTAAAACTGTCCACCTCCCTCCTTTGGCGGTATGAATGACATACCCTCAATAAAGAAGAGATGCTGCTGACCCCTACAACATCACAAGTTCACCTAGCGCCATTCACTTTTCTCATTCTCTCTTTCATCTACGTCTCAGTTCATACATGTGAGCCATACACAGGAAATATGCGTCATACTTTTCCATCAAAGTTTACGAGGAGAAGATAGTTAGGAAGTCAACAAAAGAATCCCGATTCCCATACACAACTGTTTTTCATCCAACGTGTCAAAATTAATACTAAAAATATTAATATTTTTTGCATCTAAGTAAAAAACATTAAACAAGAACAAGGGCTGAAAGGATAACATAAAATATCATATAAAGCTGAGGAGGTAAATGTTAAAAGCACCTGTTACACTTCAATAAACATAGCCTGGGTTTAATTACGTTGCAGATTCTTGAACACTTGAAGATAAGATCACTACAAAACAAATGATCAAGCCAGTTCAAACTGTAATTATTCTGTGTGCATCAACAAGTTGGAGATTGATGTACGTATTTTGGGAAACTTCAAAATTACGGAAGTGGGAATTTGACAATCCATAGGTCTAGAGAAAAACCTCTAAATTGACCAAATAAAAATGAGCAACATGTTCATTAAAGTTTTCCACAAGGTGGGCATATATGTTTTAGACTTTTTCTTTTTAGTTTGTTACACTATCCTTCAAAGCCTAATGAAAAAAAAATTAAGCAAATTGGCATCCAAAAGAAATAAAATTCTGCTACAACTGTTACGTAATAAAGCAAAAATCTTCACTTGAAACAAGGACCAAAATTTGTAATCATAGATTTTGATAAAAATAAAATAAAATAAATCTGACAGAACATCAAAGTATGTTCATTGTTTGGTTAGTATTCATTCCCCCATTTCAGAGAAAGATTACCAAGACAGGGGAGTTAGAAGGCCTCTCAACACATGATGTAACTCAATTGAGACACGAGGATTCCATTACATGATTCTCTACCTTCTAGCAAGCATCATTGAACTTTCTAATCCGATGGAAAATCCATCGTAGCATAATTCATGGTTCTTCTCAAACATGTCATGTTAGGGAAAACTTTGAAATATGGTTTAGAATTAGAATTAGTAGCTTACATTGTTGGAAAATTAATAATAATAATAATAATAATTTTGATTTTGATTTTAATTCTAACGATAAAAAATAAATAGAATCTCATACTCGATAAACATGCTGTAAACTGAATGCGAGAGCGTACCTAGATGTCTCTGTACAACACTATATTGTTCTTATGATCTTCCACCTGAAGAGCACCTGTATTTCCCTCTTGATTTTCTCTCTTGATGGAGATAGAAAGAAAGGAACGAGAATGAAACTTACGTTCTGTCTGTGTGCTCCCAAAAAGGGAGCATGACCCTTTAAATAACTAGAATTAGGTTAATTACTTAAGTTTTAGTATTTCCAATTTGATCCCTCATCAAATTAGAAATTGCTCAATGGCCTCTACACAATTTTATTTTCATGACATATGCTTTTAGTCAAAACTTTAATTTAGTCAGATCACTTTATTATTTGGCTTAATAAAATAATGACCCTAACACATTTAAATTATGTATCATATATATACATGACCCAAATTTTGCCAACAATCTCCCACTGGTTACAAATATACATGTCCTTGCAACCTTACAAATGTGTTAGACTTTATGAGCTCAAAATTCCTATTATATTCCTTTAGCATGTTCCAAAAGTCTTGTCCATTGATTATATCAGGATATAGAACCAAACCAGTTTTTCATTGCATCATCGCAACTAAAACCAACAATAATTACTAATTCTGACATAACCAAATGACATGGATTCATTATGAAATGTGTAGCATGAAAAATTACGTGAAGGTGATCTGTATACGTCTATTTTCAACTGGTCCAAACTTTAACTTATCGAGATCGATATAATATCCTTAATGTACAAAGTATAATGAATGAACGAAAAAACCGCATATCTATAGATAACTAAATATGTCCAAAAAATCAATGTATACATATATGAAATTAAACATAGAACATAAAATATATGAAAGTGACTAACTCCCACTAAACCACAAATTCCTCAAACTGTAAAACACCCATGTGAGCAACATGCTCATAAAAGACCTTGGGCGAAAG